CTGGGGGTTTGGGGGGGTGTGCAAGTCAGAAGGCTGGGAGTGTGGGGGGGTTCAGGGGTGAGGGCAGAGGGCTGGGGGGTGTGGGGGTGCAGGGCAGAGGGCTGGGTGTGGGGGGGTTCAGGGATCAGGGCAGAGGGCTGGGGGGTGTGGGGATGCAGGGCAGAAGGCTGGGTGTGTGGGAGGGGGTTCAGGGGTCAGGACAGAGGGCAGTAGGGGTGTGGGGGGGTTCAGGGGTCAGGGCAGAGGGCTGGGGTGTGTGGGGGGTGTAGGGCAGAAGGCTGGGTGTGTGGAGGGGTTCAGGGGTCAGGGCAGAGGGCTGGGGGGGCGTGGGGGTACAGGGCAGAAGGCTGTGTGTGTGAGGGGGGGTTCAGGGGTCAGGGCAGAGGGCTGGGGGTGTGTGGGGGTACAGGGCAGAAGGCTGGGTGTGGGGGGGAGTTCAGGGGTCAGGGCAAAGGGCTGGGGGTGTGTGGAGGTGCAGGGCAGAAGGCTGGGTGTGTGTGTGGGGGTTCAGGGCAGAGGGCTGGGGTGCTCAGCTCGTGGGGGTGCTCCCAGCCCCCTGACCTGAGCGGCTCCTGGCAGTAGGCTGGAAGGGATATGCCCTGTTCCACACCCTTCCCCAAGGTCCCGTCCCTACCTCTTCTCTGCCTCCTCTACGGAGCAGCGAGCACGCTGCCACTCCTCCCCCTCCCCTCCCCCTCGCAAGGGCCATCAGCTGATCGGTGCAGGGAAGGAGAGGAGGAGGGGCAGGAAAGCACCATGCTGGGGGAAGAAGTGGGGGAGGGGAGAAGCTTGGCTGCTGCAGGACCAAGCTTCTGCCTCCTGCCCCCGCAAGGGAGAGCGGTGGGTGGGGGGGCTGAGTGGGGCTGGGGCCCAGGACCGCAGCAGGCAGCAGCGTGCCACTCAAAATCGGCTTGCGTGCCGTGTTTGGCACGCGTGCTGTAGATTGCCGACCCCTGTACTACACTATGGAGAAAATGTCTTCCCAATTCACATGCTGCAGATGCTGGGAAGTTCTCACTGCCTGCTTCAAGGTGTGAGAGCCCTGCCTCCCTGCTTCCTTTACTCTGATAAAATAAATGTTTGTACATGGTGGATGGACAGGCTAACAAGCAGCCCTCTTTCAATCCCCACACGTGGGACAACTACTTCTTTCTTATGGCTCTGAGCAATCTTGACTCTTCTCCTGGAGAGATGTCCCTATCAGGAAGTGCCTAACAGGACAAGGAGCAGAACATGTTATTTCCCAGCATGCATTGTCATGGCAGCCAGTAAGAGAGATGACAGGCGAAGTGAGGCAGACATGGAATCCCTTCTACAGGAAGATGACTAAGCACTTTACCTTTGAGTTTATCCCCAAGAACTGGGTTGTAGCTGAATTTAGGGACTGTCTTGTTGCCTTTTGGTTTGGAGTTCTCAACTGGAGCCAGTGCTGCCAAGATCTTCTGTCTGATGGCCTCCTTCTTCTTGTCCTCCTTCTCCAGGAAGCTGAAGGGTCGCTGAGTGGAAAGGAGCAACTCTTTTCTCTTCTGTGTTGCCACCTCCCTGCGAATCTCATTCTGCTCCATTATTTCCTGGTAGAGTGGCAAGTAGACATGGGCAGGCACCGGCTGTGCGCGGAACTGCTTCTGGCACTCTGCCTCCTCCTGACTTTGTCTTTTGTCCCTTTGTTTTTCCAGCTCAAGGGATGCACGTGATTTCATCAACTGGGGCTTTTTATGAGCCTCACGCAGAGTCATCTTGAAGGGCTGGGGGATGGTGATAGTAGAGACCCAGGCAGATGCAGCACTCTTTGGCCTCAGGTGGGACTGAGGAAGTGAGAGAGGATTTTGCTGATCCCAAGGACTGTCCAAGTTTAGGTCAGTTAAAGAACTGGACTGGCTTATGATACTAGATCTGTGGGTAGGACAAAGACATGATTATTAAAGAGGCCGTAACAAATAAAGCGATAAGAAATCTCAAAGGGACATGCAATAGAGAGCTACCTTCTGGCTGGGTAGAAGTGACACTTATATACATTTGTAAAGTCCTTTGAGAACCTCTGATCAAAAGTGCTATATAAATGCAATATATTAGAGAGTTGCATACTTTGTTGCTTATGTAGGCCATGCAGCACATACAACTGGGCCCCTCACCCCTTGATGCCTAGAACGTTCCCTGAAATTTTGGAATTGATCCAACATGGTCTTCCAAAGTTATCATGTTACAGACAGACAAACAGAAATGCCATTGAGTGGAGGGTTAGGTCTCACTTGCTCGGCCAATATCAGAATTCAACTGGAGGCATTTCCAGGAAGATCATGAACAGAAGGAAAATAACAGGTTTCCAATGTGTCCTACCTTGAAGCCTCATAGGGCTTGCCCTGCAGAGTCAATCGCCCGTTGTCTTGGAAGAAGTCTTCCAGTTCCTCCTTGAAGGGTTTCTGGTCATTCTCCAATTTTACCTGGTAGAGCAAGCCCAGTTCTAATAGATACTGTCTGTTTTTCATCTTGAGTGCCTGCAGTGTGTCATAATACCCCTCAGCTGAGTTTGAGGCAGCTACCATTTCCTTGCCTGGCTGGAGAAAATCCAACAGCTCATCTGTCCTGGGCTGAGTGACACCACCATCAACTCTCTCTGTTTCTGGCTCAGAATCTGAGGAAGGTTGAGGTGGAAACACCTAGAGAGATCAGAGCTGGATGTTCAGTAAAGCCATTAATAACTGTCTTACACTAATGTCTTGAGCTCTGAGAGGCAACTCCCACAGACAGCCTTCTGCCTGTTCTGATGCCAAACTCCATCTTAGCCAGCTGCATTCCCACTGGTGCAGGAAGGCAGAAAATACAACATAAAAGAGCTGACAAGGACAAGGATAAGTGCAGAGTCCTACACTTAGGAAGGAAGAATCCCATGCACCGCTACAGGCTGGGGACCGACTGGCTAAGCAGCAGTTCTGCAGAAAAGGACCTGGGGATTACAGTGGACGAGAAGCTGGATATGAGTCAGCAGTGTGCCCTTGTTGCCAAGGCCAATGGCATATTGGGCTGTATTAGTAGGAGCATTGCCAGCAGATCGAGGGAAGTGATTATTTCCCTCTATTCAACACTGGTGAGGCCACACCTGGAGTACTGAGTCCAGTTTTGGTCCCCCCACTACAGAAGGGATGTGGACAAATTGGAGAGAGTCCAGCAGAGGCCAACAAAAATGATTAGGGGGCTGGGGCACATGACTTACGAGAAGAGGCTGGGGGAACTGGGGTTATTTAGTCTGCAGAAGAGAAGAGTGAGGGGGATTTGATAGTAGCCTTCAACTACCTGAAAGGGGGGTTCCATAGAGGATGGATCTAGACTGTTCTCAGTGGTGGCAGATGACAGAACAAGAAGCAGTGGGGGAGGTCTAGGTTGGATATTAGGAAACACTATTTCACTAGGAGGGTGGTGAAGCACTGGAATGAGTTACCTAGGGAGGTGGTAGAATCTCCATCCTTAGAGGTTTTTAACGCCTGGCTTGACAAAGCCCTGGCTGGGATGATTTAGTTGGTGTTGGTCCTGCTTTGAGCAGGGGATTGGATTACATGACCTCCTGAGGTCTCTTCCAACCCTGATATTCTATGATTCTATGACCTAAAAGCTATAAAAACCAGAATACCCAGTGCCTCTCTAGCGCTCCCTGTCATGCAAGGGTCTTGCTGTTGCGGCTGTTTCAGTTTACACACTATAATCTATGCAACTCAGTCCTTTATGCTCTCCTCCCCACCTTCAGTTGTGTCCAGCACTTTTTGGACATAGCTGTGAATCTGGCCTATGGTACCCAGTCCTGTTCCAACTGACATCAATAGCAAAAACAAAAATCTCATTTTAGTGATGGGAGCAGGATTGAGCCTCTAACTCTCACTGGGGTCAATGGCAGCAGGAATCAGCCCCAAACTATCCACAACAAAATTCATTAACAACTTTGCTTAATTACAATCTATTTTTTCCCAAACAGTGCCAGGTTGGGAGTTTTAAGGGGATTTAACTATTTGGGAAATTTGGAGAGTTATGAACAAGTATTTCTGAGGTAGTGGGAGACAAAGAAACAAAAGTCAGGGTAATTTTTCAATGACCTGTAACACAAACATCCCTCTTTGACCTCTGGGGTGAATCTGGCAGTCGTCAGGCCATGTACATTTTCCATGCTATATTTTTAGGGAGGTTAAAATAATGGAAGCTGGCTGTAACCTTACCGGGGCAGAGGCTGCAGCCTCTCCACAAGGCAGACAAAGGGTTAGGGTGCTGATGTCCAAGGTCTCTGGCTAGTAAAGAGGAATGGGGGCCAGTAGGGGACAAAGGGCTTTCCCGTGGTGCAGGCACTGGGACTTAGGCGACCTAGCTTCTTCAACTCCCTGCTTCGCCGTGGCCCCCCTGGGCGACCTCGAGCAAGTCACGTGGTCTCCCTTGGCATCAGTTCCTCCCGTGCAATAGGGGGAAGAGCCCCTCAATGGCCAGACCAGGGGTGGTGCTCCGTTGCCATGGTAACGGGGCCATGGCGCTGAGGTGACACACGGGCCGTCAATCCCGCACACGCCCTGAAACCGTTACTCGGAGCGGGCAAAGAAAACGCCGGTGGTTCCCATGGTAACAGCCCCATGGTGCTCGCCCCCGCCCTTCTCTCACCTGTCGGGTCCGTGCCTCGGGCCCCATTTTGGCTCCACTTAGGGCTCCCAGTTGCCTCGACACTGTCATCTCTGGTCCTCACGGGCTGTGCCTAGCCCCGCCCTCCGGCGGGCCCTACCAGTTCATTGGTCAGTGGATGCCAGTAGGCTAGTCCAATTAGCGCTGTGGCCAGGCCTCTAAGCCCGCCCTCTCTGTCTTCGCTGCTTCAATAGCCAATGATCGCCTTTCCTACTGCCCGTCGACTGGGAGGACCTTTCCAGGAAGGAGTCGCCCTGCATGCGCCTCGGCTGTTGGCACACGCGTTGTCATGGCGCTTATTTTGTCACTTCCGTTTTGGGCGGTTGTTATGGTGCTGGGTCCGTCACTTCCGCAGTGATGGCGGTGTGGGTGTCCGCGGGTGGTTGTGGTCTCTTGTCGCCAATTAGGGGACGGCTCCGGGCCGGGTGGGCCGCGGTTCTGGCGTGGAGGGTCCCGTTGCGGGCCGCAGGCACCGGGCCGGTGTATGATGTGGTGGTGTCGGGCGGGGGGATGGTCGGGAGCGCTATGGCCGCGGCGCTGGGTAAGGCCTTGTCGCGCTCACCTGGGCTGGGGGTGGGTCGGTCCATCCTCTTTGCTGCGGGGTTAGAGCGTGTCCCGAGGAGTGGCCCTGCCGGGCCCCGGTTCTGACTGGCCGTGAATGTGACCAGAGAAGCCTCAGAGCCCGGCGGTGGTGGGTGGGCAGAAGAGGGGTTGGGGCAGAGGGAGGACAGTGACCTAGACTCCATCAAGCCCTGGGGCTCGATGGTGGATTGTGGTACCCGGGTTGAAACTCGTCCACACTCTGCTGGTAGCGTTGAAACGGTACAACGCTCCCCTCCACCTCTCAAAACGGGTATACGGCTATCCTTGGATAAAGATGTTTGTAGGGGTGTAACTTGTGTAAAGGGAGAAGGGAATTAACCTATATGGGGACTATAAGGGTATCCACCATAAGGGTTGTGCTGATCTACTGATGGGGGGCGGGGGGGAATCACACCCACAACTCTATACTGTGTGTAGACCAGGCCTAAAATGGAGTTGTCCCTAACTTAGTTAGGGCAGTCATTACACTTCCTATGGAAAAAGCTTTCATTGAGAAGTGGCAGTTTATTGTGGGCAAGGAAAGGAGAATCTGTTTTAAAGTATACAGCAGTAGTCTACACATCTGCACTTAGTTCTTTTTCATTCATTTAAAAAAAAGTCCAATATTTTAAGCCAATTCATTTCCTTAATTTTTGCTCTTAAATAAGTGACTACATTCCAGCTGGTAGCTGACTGTTTTCACTGGTCCTGTTTCTCTTCCTTTGTGTGTGTGTGTGTGTGAGAGAGAGATAATTGTGCTAGTTTTAATATCTGGAAGTAGGGCAAGTTGGGGTTCTGATTTGTACAAGTTGTGAATCATCTCACCTACCTGCTGCTAAAATGTCTTTTATTTAAAAATAAATAAATCCTTAACGTGTAGGTAAGATTGTAGGTGCTCAATGGTGTCATGTTCTCCCTCTGCCCTTCCAGAATATGAAAGTGTAACTTCCAAAACTCAAATGTCAGAAAATGTAGAGTCAAGCTTCCTTTTACCCCCATATCCACTGCAAGTATACTAAAGATATAGTAAGAAACAAAACACATAGTTTAGAAAATGCAGAGTTGGGGTAGCTCTTCCTGAGCAAACTCAGCTTCCATAAGGATGCCTAGAGGAGTTCAGAATATCAGTACTTTACCCGTTCCTAAGCCTTTTTGTCTTGTCTTGTTAACCAAACAACAGACATGACTTCCTGAAACACAGGTGCTACACAGGTTAATTGGGGTATATAAATAAGAGTCAATCAGAAATTAAGTGTGCACACAGTGGAAATGTCAGTTCTTATTAATGGATCATCTGTGCTACATAATTTCTAAACCAAGGTCTAATAATTTCAAATTTTAAGTTTTTAGACCTCTTCGGTACCATACACATGATCGCATCAAGGGAGATCAGTAGTATATTTCATGTGTTGTACTGCCATTTGTTTTTTCCCTATTGTAATGCTTTCAAGCACAGCTAATTCCTCAGCACTGAAAATTCTCATTTTTAGGGTGCTGTGTCTTGGGATCCCTTGATTAATTGATCATATATTTTCCCCACAAACTGCCCAGGCCCCTTGCCCATCGTACCAATTTACAAGCTAATCTGTCTTCCCTGTAGTGATGTCATGCAATAGCTATATGATTAAGAGTTTTTAGTGTTTGTGGTCCCACATTAAATCGATTTTTAAAGATGCATTAGATTATTTTCATTTTTTTTTTCTCCTTGCAACATCACAACAGGGTAACAGGGCAGAGTTAAAGTTGTTTGGATGCCTTAACTATACCTATTTTACCATAACAGATGGATGTCTTTTAAATGCAATTGTAACTTTGAATTTCCTGGGTTTATAATGCTTATTTGGAGCTAATTGCAGCACCTCTCTTGCAATCTTAACTTCATTTTAATATTGTGGGGTGGTTGTTTTTTTGGGTGTGGGGGAAATTTACTTAACTTTGTAAAAAAAAAATTATTAAAACATCATAAAGATCAAACAAGAAACCTAAAGAGAAACTTGCCTGTTATATTTCTAATGATTTTTATGATGCATATTAACCATTTTAAAAAAAACTTTTAAGGACAGATCCACTGGTACACCAAAGCCAGAGCAATGCAAAGCTTAATTTGAAATTTACTTATAGGTTCAAAGGGCTGTGTGAGACCCACCCTGTGTGAAGGGAGAGCCTAGGCCCCATGTCCAAATATCTCTGTGCCTTAAAGGCTCCCTTTACATCCCTGCCTCTTCCAAGTGGTAATTCAGTGTGCAGTGGAGCTGAGGCAGCAGTGTGCAGGGAGCCTTTCAAGAACTGATCCCCCAAAGCTAATATGCAGCCATGGAACTTTTAAAAAGCAGTAACAGTTGGGAAAAGTAACCTACCAATGAGAACTATTCTTGATAAGTGTCCACTCTCCTTCATACTACTGAGTCATTACAGCCACTAGAACTGTTGCATGCAAATTAGCTGTAGAGGAAGAGTAGTTATTGGGTGAGTTATTTTTAATGTCAGAGTGACCCCATTTATGGATTTCATGAGCCTAATTGTAGCCTATATAACCATAACAATTATATACACTAATAATTAATATCTTAGCTTAATTGCCACCTTATTTTTTCAAGTATAGCCTGTGCAAAAGGTTTCAAATAGTTTGAAGTGTCTGGGTTATTCCATCGTGAAGATCATTTGGGACAGAGAAAAGACTTACACAGATGCTAAATTTCTTAAAGAATTTGGTTCTTAATTAATTTTAAATCAGAAATTAACAGATTTACTTGTAAACTTTCAGAAAATGTGATCTGTACTCAACAAACTAAGTGCTGAAAGTCTGGGGAGGATACGCTGTAGTTTTTCATACAAAACAGGCTGAATCCTTGCTTTAATTGCAAAATGGCTCTTAAACCTTAACTGTGGAGTTGTGAACAGTGCCTCCATAGTATTAAATCTGTATTTACCTAGTTAGAAATCTGCATTATATATGCTTTTCCCTGTAGGGAATTTTATTTAAGTGTCTCATTGCAAGGTGCATGGGAGTTCTTGATTATATAAATAAATAAATAAATGCATGATTTTTTATTAAAAGTATCTTAATAAATGTTTGCCTGTTTCAGGACATGATGTCCACTTCAGTGAGAAGAAAATCCTGTTACTGGAAGCTGGTCCTAGGAAAGTGTCTCGCCGTTTGCCTGAGAGTTACAGTAACAGAGTCAGTTCCATCTCCCCTGGTTCAGCCACCCTTCTGAGCAGTGAGTACAGCTCTTCTTGTTCTTTCTGTATAACACTTTAATCTGAAACTGGAACTGGTTTTATTTTTGTGGGGCCCTTGAGAATTCTTCAGAGTGGGACTGTCGTTCTTAAACTGACTTGGCTGATTCCTACTCTCAGTTTCTTATGCCAAGCATTCTGAATTGAGGTGTCTAAATCAGGCTTTTCTAGGGTAGGGGCATGACTTCTTGTTCTGGAATCCTTGTTCATTTTGTATAGATCTTTGTGTGATTTCAGTACTAGTGAAAGGTCTTCAAGTGACAGCCCTAGAGTATTCTTTTCACAGAACAGATACAGCCTGGGTTGTGTGAAGGAATCTTCTTACACTGTTCCCTAGTCTATGTATTGCACCCCTGCCATGAAGGAATTGGTTCTGCAGCATAATTCAGTCTCCTGGGCCCATTCAGTCTTTGATTTCTCTGCTGAGAAGCCAGCAAGATGGACAGTTGGTGGTGGTGGTGGTGGTGGATTTTGAGATGTGAAGGCTTCTCCCCCCCCCCCCCCCCCCCGCCCCTTTCTTCTTGCTTTTCACAGCATCAATATTTAGGTAGGTGGGAAGATTTTGAGCTGGTTCACGCTCCCTAACCCTGCTGGCTTGAAGCCATACTACTTATTTGTAAACTAAGGGTATGTCTACACTAGAAACTTCAAGCGCTGTCGTGGGAATGCTCCTGCAGCAGCGCTTTGAAGTGCGAGTGTGGTCGGGCGCGAGTGCTGAGAGAGAGCTCTCAACAGTGTTCCTGGTAATCCGCCTCCACGAGGGGATTAGTTCCGAGTGCTGGGAGCGCGGCTCCCAGTGCTCAGAGCTTGTCTACACTAGCGCTTTAAAGCACTCAGACTTGTTGCGCTCAGGGGGGTGATTTTTCACACGCCTGAGCCAGCAAGTTAGAACACTATAAAATGTAAGTGTAGACAAGCCCTAAGTAGGGTTAGATCTGGTTAGGACTTGGATGTGTGAACAACCCAGGTGCTCCAGAAAGTGGTGTTGGTAATTTTATCTGTGTTGTTGCTGAACTAATGCCCCAGCCTGGAGCAGGGGCTCAGTGCTGCTGGAGTTACCATTATGAGACACAAAACTGAGATTCTGACCATTTATCCTATGGCACCCAGGCCAAGAGCAGGGATATCTCTGGGTCCTGTCCAAATTCCATCTCCGGTAATTCTGCTCTCCCTCTCTCGCCCTCTTTTCTACCACCTCTGACAATTTCATGGTGCCTTTCATCACAAAGGATCCCAAATAAGTCTGGTCAAAAAATTGTAAGTATTTTCCATAAACATTTTTGAATGAAACAAAAACTTTTTTGCAATTTTTTATGGAAATTTCCCCCTCTCCCCCCCCAATTCCAAAAAAACCAACCAAACAAAAAACTTTGACGGTTCCTCTCTTTCTTCTACTAGGAAAGGGAGGGACTAAAAATAACAAAAACCAAAAAGTATTGTATTAAAATGAAGCAACGTTTTTCAGTTTGTTTTGATCAGAAATTTTGAACTGTTGGACAATTTTCCAGAAAGCCATTTTTTCTTAAAACACACACACACAACCCCCCCCTCCCCCATATTGACACACAAAAATTCAACCAGCTCTAATCCCAAAACATTTAACAAACAGAAATGTCTTCACCCATCCCTGAAATAGCCATGTTTGAAATAGAAGGATGGACCTATTCAGCATTTGCAGAGCAACAGGATTGGGCCAAAAGAAATCTGATGAGGTTCAACAAGGACAAGTGTAGAGTCCTGCACTTAGGATGGAAGAATCCCATTCACTGTTACAGACTAGGATATGAGTCAACAGTGTGCCCTTGTTGCCAAGAAGGCTAACAGCATTTTGGGCTGTATAAGTAGGGGCATTGCCAGCAGATCGAGGGACATGATCATTTCCCTCTATTTGGCATTGGTGAGGCCTCATCTGGAGTACTGTGTCCAGTTTTGGGCCCCACACTACAAGAAGGATGTGGAAAAAGTGGAGAGAGTCCAGCGGAGGGCAGCAAAAATGATTAGGGGGCTGGAGCACATGATGTATGAGGAGAGGCTGAGGGAACTGGGATTATTTAGTCTGCAGAAGAGAAGAGTGAGGGGGAATTTGATAGCTGCTTTCAACTACCTGAAAGGGGGTTCCAAAGAGGGATGGATCTAGACTGTTCTCAGTGGTACCAGGTGACAGAACAAGGAGTAATGGTCTTAAGTTGCAGTGGGGGAGGTTTAGGTTGGATATTAGGAAAAACTTTTTCACTAGGTGCAGGGCTTTGGAGCTGTGCTCCGGCTCCGCTCCAGCTCCAGGCAAAATCCTGCAGCTCCACTGCTCCGGAGCTGCTCCGCGCTCCAGCTCCGGGCTCCGCTCCAAAGCCCTGACTAGGAGGGTGGTGAAGCACTGGAATGGGTTACCTAGGGAGGTGGTGGAATCTCCTTCCTTAGAGGTTTTTAAGGTCAGGCTTGACAAAGCCCTGGCTGGGATGATTTAGTTGGGGATTGGTCCTGCTTTGAGCAGGGGGTTGGACTAGGTGACGACCTGAGGTCCCTTCCAACCCGATATTCTATGATTCTATGAACTGTACACAATGGTTTAGGTTTAGAACTAAGAGAAGAATATGGTATGCAATTGAAACAAAAAATCCCTTCTTCTGAGTACGGCACTGTTCACTTTTCGACTTCACACTAGTTGGTTGAAGAATTTCTGACTCTTGCTGTCCTTCAGTTCTGGGGTCTGTAGCAGATAATCTCGGCAAAGCTTCCGTTATTTGTCATTTCTCATATCTAGGCTTGGGAAGCTGGTCAGTTGACCGGTTAAATAATGTATGTTGACCTCCTATTATTTGACCAGCGTCAAATATTCCAGCAAGAATGCCCTGATGAAGGTGGTGGCCTACCTTCTTGATTGCATCATGGTCCCAGTCTTTCATTTTTTAGAACTTAGTTTTGTTATGTTTCACATTTTTCTGAGTTAAAATAACTAAGTTAAGTAACTTGATTGTTGTAATTAGGTATAAGCTATCTAAGGCTAAGCCTATTGGAAATTCTTTTTGTTACTGTTCTAATAAATTAGTGTTTTAAAATATTTGACCATTTTTGACATTGATCAATTGACCAGTCAAATATTGTCAATTATTTTTGGACTGGTCAAGTGCCCAACCCATCTCCTATCTTTACCCAAAGGATTTCACCATTGCCTCCTTAGTTATCAGATTGCATATTACACCTTTGGAAACATGTGAGATGCAGTGGTATCCCTACCATTGATCTTCCTCCCATCTCTGATTCAGAGAATCATCCCAACAGCTTGTAATCATTTAATTTCTCGTTCACTCTTTGTTTGTTTATAGAGACAGTTAAGATGTTAATGCTCCTGTGCTTAATTTCATAGTATCTGTAATTTCACTTTCTGTAGCAGAACCTTCTCTCATGTCCTATTTGAACAGGGAATTTTTGAATGAAGTGAAAATTCTCTTCCCCACCCACTCCTGAATCTTTACCCTGAATGGTTTGTGTCCACTCTCACTTGGGGGATTCTCCTTGATGTTTTTCACTGGCCTTGTTACTTCATCATTCTCTGCACTGAATGTTGAACTTCTCAGCCCTCTGCTTCTATTCTCTAGAATGGCTTCTGAATTTTATTTCCTCCTTTCTATAGATGAAGAATCCCCTTTCCTCTCTAGATCATTTATACATTAAACACAAGTCATGCATTGAAACTAGTTAGGTTCAACATACAGGCTGATGAAGGTGGGATAACTCAAAGTTTGGGCTGGTGTGAAGTGGCCCCTAGAGTATGGACAAAATGACCTTGTCCATCTCTCATGTAATGCTTATATGATCAATCATTTGCTGAACAATGTTAATATGCTCAGCGCTATGACATAAAAAGGGTGACTGCACCAAGGAGCTTATGATTCGAAGTACAATGTGCAGATGAGCACTACCCTAGATGACCAGAGTTTGGGAAATCCAGTTTGAGTGGTGTGAAAGATTATTTTTTTCTGCTTCCTTTTGTTGGTGGCCATTTCACAGAATCACCATGTTCTGTGGAAGTATGTGGCTGAAGGGAGGCTGGCTGATGCTTGGGGGTGGGGAGGGAAGCATGGAGGAAGGGGCAGAAAGGAGAGTTTGAAAACGGTACAGAGGGATAGATTAGGAGAGAGGCTTTGGAGAAGCACAGGCAACCAGAGGAAATGGGGGCTGAGATATAAACCATGGGAGAGTCATGCAGAGTTTTGAAACAATATGTGGAAGGCAAGAGAAAAGCAAGCAGGTGTTCATATGATCAGGGTTGGGTGAGAAAGCTAGATTACATCAGGAGTTGCAGATACTGAAGTGAGAGACGATCAAGGCCTGGACAAGGATTTTAGGGAAAGAAAACGACATTTTATAGTAGTTGTGAAGGACAAACTGACAGGACTTGATGCTGGCTTGGGTAGGTGGCAGGAGGAAGAGTCTAATGCAGGGGTGGGCAAACTTTGTGGCCCGAGGGCCACATCTGGGAATAGAAATTGTATGGCAGGCCATGAATGCTCACAAAATTGGGGTTGGGGTGCGAGCTCTGTTTGGGCGTGTGGGCTCTGGGGTGGGGCCAGAAATGAGTTCAGGGTGCAGGAGGGGGCTCTGAGCTGGGGCTGGGGATGAGGAGTTTAGGGTGCAGGAGGGTGCTCCGGGCTGGGATTGAGGGGTTTGGAGTGTAGGAGGGGGATCAGGGCTGGGGCAGAGGGTTGGAGCGTGGGGGGAGGCTCAGGGGTACTGGCTTCGGGCGGCGTTTACCTCAAGCGACTCCTGAAAGCAGTGGCATTTATCTTCTCCAGCTCCTCATAGAGGTGCTGCCAGGTGGCTCTGTGTGCTGCCCTGTCTGCAGGCACCGCCCCTGCAGCTCCCATTAGCTGCGGTTCCCAGCCAATGGGAGCTGCAGGGGCGGCGCTTGGGGTGGATGCAGCTTGCAGAATGGAGCCCCCTCGCTGCCCGTACGTGTAGGAGCTGGAGGGGGGCCATGCTGCTGCTTCCAGGAGCCGTGTGGAGCAGCCCTCAACCCTGCGCCGCGGCTGGAGTGCCAGAGCGGGGCAAGCCCCAGACCCCACTCCCCAGTGGAGCTCGAGGGCCGGTTTAAAACAGCTGGCAGGCCGGATCCAGCCCGCGGGCCGTAGTTTGCCCACCCCTTGTCTAATGTGACACTGAAGTTGCAAGCCTGATTAACGGGAAGGATGGTTAAGTCTTCAGGGATAGAGGAGGAGAAGGGGAACTTATGGGCTGCTGAGAGAATCTGATGTGTGGCTACAGGCAGATCTGAACCCTGCATCCTAATGATGAAAAAAGTGTTTTAATCAGCTGTGTCCTTGAGCCTTTCCCTCCCTCCTGTGCCCCCAACTCAGAGCCTAAGTATATGTAGTGAGAGTTGACTTTATGCTACACTGAATTCCTGAAGTCAGGCCTTCACTGACCCCAGGCAGGTGGATCTTTCCTCCTGTCTTGCATCAGTATCAAGAGTGGTGTGAGAGCCTTATAAGAATCTAGACAGACCCAGCTCTGTATGCGGGTGGAGAAAGCAGTCTATGGCTAGGTTGGAAGAGTGTTATTCATTAGGGGATCGAGGGGAGAAAGAGAGGATCGTGAATCTGAGTCTCATTTTGGTCTCACTGTGACTGGTTTCTCTTCATGTTGTGGGTCCTTCTCTCTCCTTTAGGTTTTGGTGCCTGGGATCATGTCTGCAGCCTGCGATTCAAACCCTTCCGGCGGATGCAGGTGCCTGACTCACTGCCGTGAATGCAGTCTGTCTGTTTCTGCTAATGTAACTAGAATGCTCAGAAATATTTACCCCTAATGGCCCAAGATTTGTTTCCTCCCTGGAGAGGAACAGGGCACACTGACTAAGCCTGTTGTATTCTTGGTGTGTCAGTCTTCCTAGGATCAGAGGGGTAGCCATGTTCGTCTGTATCCACAAAAACGAGCAGTCTGGTGGCATCTTAAAGACTCACAGATTTATTTGGGCATAAGCTTTTGTGGGTAAAAACCCCATTTCTTCAGATGCATGGAGTGAAAATTAGAGATACAGGCATAAATATACTGGCACATGAAGAGAAGGGAGTTACCTTACAAGTGGAGAACAAGTGTTGACAAGGCCAATTCAGTCAGGGTGGATCTGGTCCACTCCAATAATTGATGAGGAGGTGTCAATACCAAGAGAGGGAAAATTGCTTTTGTAGTGAGCCAGTCACTCCCAGTCCCTATTCAAGCTCAAATTAATGTCTGATATCAGACATCAGGAATGGTAACATACAAAAGCCAGTAGGAGAACACTTCAATCTCCCTGGACATTCAGTAACAGATTTAAAAGTAGTCCTCCTTCAACAAAACCTTCAAAAACAGACTTCAAAGAGAAACTGCAGAGCTACAATTCATTTGCAAACTTAATACCATTAATTTGGGCTTGAATAGGGACTGGGAGTGGGAGTCTTCCTAGGAGACTTTCTCACCTTTCTTCGTCCTCCCTCAATCTCCTGACATTAGAGGCTGGAGGGATGATTCCTGATAGAAGTTCTAGAGATTGCCCATCACCTTTCCCTGTTAAGGGAGAGTTGTGAGCAGGTCCTGATGGAGCTGCACAATTCATGCTGAGTCTATGCAGTGTGATAATATTTTCTCTCTCTCTTCCCCCTAATAGGTATGGGATGCCTGTTCAGAAGCCATGATAATCTTTGATAAAAACAACTTAGAAGACATGGGTTATGTAGTGGAGAACAATGTCATTATGTCTGCTCTAACCAAACAGTTAGATGCAGTGTCAGGTAGGCGATGATTGCTTTCATTTTTTATTCACAGTGTGGGAGCTATCAGTGAGTTGCATTCAGCAGGGAGCTCTGGAACAGGGGAAGAGAGAGGGAGGAAATCCATTCAGCAGATAACTCGGAGGTTTATGGAGAAGAGTCAGTCCCCCTGGGTTAGGAAGAGATACTTGTTCTCGGTGGAACTGTATCTAAGCCTTCTATCCTAAGTCCTTTTCTAGACTTCACACATGCACTCACTGTGGTATCTTATGTTTTGTTGTGAAATGGCTTTAACTTCCCCCCAGCTCAGATATTTGAGAGGTGATCAGCCTCTGCAGTGATGGGGGCAATACAAGTGCCTAGATAGATTGCTTCCTTGTGCCCTAAGGGTGGGTGTCAATGGGGTCAGCTCTGAGAGTCATTGTGTTGCCTAGCTGTGCCTTGCCTTTTGCTCACTTTGTAACTTTCCTTCTCTCATGTCTGTATCATGCTGTGACCCTGCTATGTTGTGTTCCATCAGATCGGGTGGAGGTTCTCTACAGGAGCAGAGCAGTCGGGTATACCTGGCCCCTTACCTGTCATCTCTCTGACACAAGCCCTTGGGTCAAAATTGACTTAGCTGATGGACGCAGACTGGAGACCAAACTGCTGGTATCTAAACTTCCATTTTCTGTTGATCAGGCACTGTCTCTTGCCAAGTTCTTTCCAATGGATTTAGTTCTGATTTCATGTGTGGTGCTGCTCCATTAGTGGGGAGGGTTTGAGTGAGGTGAGCTGCTGACTGTGTCAGAGATACTAAGGGATAACGTCGGTAGCCTTCTTTGTGGCTAGCCGAAGAGGACTCTGCTGAATTAGAGTAGGGCTGAAGAGGCTGCCTCTTGTTGCAGTATTCTCATTTATTTAAAAGAAACCACATATCCAAGTGCAATGGGGAGGCCTTTGCTACTTTGTTGAGTTAGCTACTCACTGCAGATAACAAGGGCTGGAATACTGATTTTTTTCTGAAGCCATTGACGAGGTTTCCTTGTATCTCATCCCCTTACAGATTGGTGCAGATGGTCAGAACTCCATGGTCCGGAAAGCAGCTGGAATTCAGAACATCCACTATCAATATGATCAGTCAGCTGTGGTTGCTACTCTGCACTTGTCTGAGGTGAGATCCTGCAAGTTCCTGAGCTGCAGTGTCTGTGCAGGTTAAGTAGGTGATGCTAGATCAGCAGTTCTCATCAGTCCTCATGTTTCTTCATGTTATAGGCCACAGACAACAATGTAGCATGGCAGAGATTCCTCCCTTCAGGGCCAATTGCTCTTCTCCCGGTAAGACAGTGACTTTTGACTCACCCATCTTTAACTCTTTGGTCCGTTTATTTCTAATCACCTTTCTTCTACCTTTCAGTGCCTAGTTACATTGCTTCTATCTTGCCTCAAGACTTTTCCTTCTTTCTATAACTCTTGACCTATCACTGTTGTCTGTAGTTGTTTTTCCCCTTCTAATTCTTATTTATTTTCCTATTTCCCGCCTGTTGGCTTTTTTGGGTCTGGAGCCCCTTGCACATATTGGTTCTGGGATGGGTGGAATGAAGGCCCTGGTCCGAATTAGAGTGTGGGTGGGGCCTGGACCCTTTCCTGGATTGGCATGTGGGGAAGCCTTGCACAGATTATTTTTCTGTCTCTTGATACTGACTCTTATGGTTCTCTTGGGTCAGCTCTCTGAAACTGCCAGCTCTTTGGTTTGGTCCACATCTCATGAACATGCATCACAGCTTCTTAGTATGGATGAAGAAAGCTTTGTGGACACCATCAACTCTGCCTTTGTGAGTATCATCATTTCATGAGGATGCAGAGCTGACTTTGTTGCTGTGATAAGAGATAAGATAGACTGCTGTAAATTAAAGAATGGTGGCCATTTTGGCCCCTGTTTACTCCATCCTATTATACAAAAAGTACTCAGTGAAATTAAGATGGCAACTTTAAAATGAGTAAAGGGTAATATTTATTAATGGAACATATAACTAACCTGTGAAACTTGCTGCTGCAGGATACTATTGAAGCAAACTTTTTAATAAGGTTCAAAAAACATCAGATGCCTGTCTAAATAAGAATCACTTCTTCAGTGACACTAGCAAGAGTAAAATAAGGAATGTCTAGCCTCCTCCTTCGTTGTAATTACCAGGATTTCAGGGTGGGAAGAAATGTCCCTCTCATGGGATACCACTACAGGGAAGTGCAATATGGAAGACTTTCGTCTTCCTGTGATGAATCTGGAATTGACCGCTGTTGTTCTGACATGTATGGACCTAACATAATTAATGTATTATGGAAGTTGCAGTAAGTTGACTTGGAAGAAAAGTATGCTAGTGTGTGCTGAAAAACATCACATGGGTAGGTCTGATCTGGTCCTCATTTTAAAAGCTGAACAGGTTGAGCCTGGTTAGTTCTTGAATTGGAGGCCTCTGAAGAGAAAGGTATATATGTTCCTTGTGTCGTGCACAGCAGCTCCTCTTCAGTCTCCTACAGAATCTCACCCTGTAATTCTAGACACACTTCCTTCCCTACCATTTTTTCTGCATATATTTATATAAAAATAAGCCAAACAAAATTTGTATGCAAAACCTGTGAGTGCATTTTTAAGTGCAGTTGTGCTTTGAGATGGCACTTCCTTTGACTATCCTAACTCATGCACTTCCAAGGCTCCAACAACTCTTAGTCAATGCAGGAATTCCTCGGAGGCCCAGCAAACCTACTACTTTTCACTTCCAGTTTATTTTCCACAAAGTCTAACTTGCCCTTTAATAAAGAATTCTTCATTTTAGTCTTGTGTTCATTCACCGTATGCTCTGACTTGTGACTCTTCTGTCATTCAGATCTGGTTAATTTGCATTAAGGTAGCTTTTGGCTTTGAATCTCTTTTTTATTTGTTGATTATTAGTACATATCTTATCTTGCTCAAATAGAATGGTATAGGCTCTCTCTTCTGCCTGCTATAATCAATACTTGTGAACTTGCATGGATACTAACCAGGCTGTATAATTAGTAGATAAAGTGTCTGATTTAAATGCACGAGCAGTAACTTGAAAGCCTATTAGGATTTTACTTTTACTAGAGTTCTATTCACTTTTCCATTAGTGCAGTTACAAGCTGACATTCTTAACACTTTAAGTCAATCAAAAAAGTCTCACTAAAACATTAAAAAAAAACCCTGAAATGGGATATCTTCACATGGGAGCTTTATTAAAACACCCCTCAGAGAGAGGGTCACCCTTTGTGACTGAAGTTAGATTAGCACTGGAGATAGTGATGGAGAGTGAATTACTTTTCAAAACGATAGGAGGGGCAGACTCTCCTCCTCTAAGATGGTCTCCTCCTAGGCCGTAATGAGGATGGTTTTGTTTGCTGAGTGGTTAGAATTGTGTATTTGGGTACTTTTGTTCATTTATGCATCAGTCTGGTATTTATTAGGCCATGTTGCTTTTGGGTGTTAGTAAAGGCAGTATGTGCTCTTTGGGACGGGGAATCATGTCATCCCTTGTGCTTGTTCAGTGCCTAGTATGTTGTGGGCACTACACAAAACAAAGTGTTTGTAATTTTGTTGGGACATCCAGAAGCCTTGGGGTTTGGGGCACCATATAAATCAGTCTTTATTGTTATTCAGTGGAGCAACCTACACCACTCGGACTTTATTGATACTGCTGGATCCGTGTTCCGATCTGCTATTTCTCTCCTGATGCCATCAGGCACTGCAGCCCGCCAGCTGCCCCCAAGCATCGCCAGAGTGGAGCCAAAGAGCCGAGCTGTGTTTCCTCTTGGAATGGGCCATGCCACAGAATATGTCCGGCACCGGATGGCACTTATTGGGTAAATTGCTTATTCAGGGCTGCAGGTGCCATGGTTGTTTTTATGGGAAAACAGGCCATTTCTGGTTCCATAAAGTGTATGTTTGGGGAACGAAGTGAAGCGCACCTGGCACAGCAGGGGTGTGGATTATTCAGGGAGGGTGATAGTTGTGGTGCCAGACATGTTCCTCTCCCCAGTTAACAGGTGGAGCAAGTGGATTACATCTGGAGCCATGGAGTGGAGAGGTTCTTCAAGGAAAAAGGCAGGCAGAGTATGTGTAGCACAGTGTGGGGAGGTATTGGAGGTCAGATACTTGTTAAATAAGGTGTGTGTGTGTGTATATATAGTGGACATGGAGTGCTATAAGGAGGGGCTTATTAGAGAGAGGAACTGAAGTGTCTGCTACACCAGCAGTTCTCAACCAGAGGTCCCGGGCCCCCTGGGAAGCCACGAGCAGGTTTCAGGGGGTCCACCAAAATAAACCAGAGAGCAGGGCCAGCATTAGACTCACTGGGGCCCAGGGCAGAAAGCTGAATTTCGGGCACCACTGCCTGGGGCTGAAGCAGAAGCCTGAGCAACTTAGCTTCGCAGGGCCCCCTGTGGTGTGGGACCCTGGGCAATTGCTCTGCTTGCTACACCATGATGCCAGCCCTAGCTTTTAATCTACTGAAAAACAGTTGTTGTGGCACAGGTGGGCCATGGAATTTTTATAGCATGTTGGCGGGGGCCTCAGAAAAAGGTTGAGAATCTCTGTGCTACACTCAGGGGGCAGGGACTTAGTGGGTAAGGAAAACATGGACTGTCTCTGCTCTCCTCTGGTTAGGATATGAGATGCTCTCTGCTCTGCCCTTAGGGATGCAGCACACAGAGTCCATCCACTAGCAGGACAAGGTGTAAATATGGGCTTTGGAGATATTGCATGCTTGACACATCACCTCAGCACAGCGGCCTTCAATGGGAAGGATCTGGGTAAGGATACATAATCATAAGGAATAATCTATGGTAATAATTTGAATATCCCCTTCTCCAAGTCTCCCAGCATATCTGAACTTCTTTCTTTTACATAGTGAGCTCTTCAGGGCAAGGATTGACTCCGTTTGTTTCCTGTACACCTCTGGGCACATTGGTGTCTCATAAAATGAATAATGTATCAGCATATTTATAAACTGGGATTAGCTGGAGTGTCCAAACTTCATCTGTGGACCAATCAGAGAGTGATGCTTCTGGATGCATTTCCCTTCCCAAAACCCATGTTGTGTTGCCTAGTTTATAGAATGTTCCATTCTGCTGGCCCCTGGTGTAAGGAAATGTGGGAATAAGAGCTGCTGAAGGGAACAAGGAACACTTGGATCTTGCTACTTGCTGAATAGCACCTTTTTAAGATGAATCTAGAGCAGGGGAGGGCAAATTACGGGCCACGGGCTGGATCCGGCCCATCCGGGCTTTCAGTCCGACCCGTGGGATAGCCAGCCCCGTGGTGAAGCAGGGCTAAGGCAGGCTCCCAGCCTGCCCTGGCCCCGCGCTGCTCCCGGAAGTGTATGGCACCACATCCCTGGGGGACGGTGGGGGCAGTGGGCTCCGCGTGCTGCCCTTGCATGCAGGCACTGCCCCCCACAGCTCCTATTGGCCGGGAATGGGGAACTGCGGCCAATGGGAGCTTCGGGGGTGGTACCCGCGGGCAAGGGCAGCACGTGGCAGAGCCGCCTGCCACACCCCACCCCCAGGAGCCACTGCTGGACATACTGGCCACTTTTGGGAGCGGTGCGGAGCCAGGGCAGGCAGGGATCCTGCCTTAGCCCTGGTGTGCGCTGCTGCCACCCCAGAGCCGCTTAACGTAAGCGATGCTGAGCCGCACCCCGAATCCCTCCTGCACTCCAACCCCTTGCCCTGAGCCCCCTGCCGCACCCTACCCCCATACCCTGAGCCCCCTCCCGCACTCTGCAACCCAACCCCTTGCCCTAAGCCCCTTCTTGCACACTGTACCCTCTCCCACGCTCCCTCCCGCACCCCAACCCCCTGCCCCAGCCCTACATTCATGGCCCTGCATGCAATTTCCCCACCCAGATGTAGCCCTCGGGCCAAAAATTTTGCCCATCCCTGATCTAGAGAGTGCAGAGATCGTTGGTGTGTGTGTGTTTTGGGTGCCTGTGGAGCTCATTATGTTAGTGGCATGAGCAGTTGGGACTGCAATTTAATTCTCTCCTCTCTTTTCCAGGCTCCATAAAGCACCTCTTACAGTTTGAGACAGAACGTCAGAGGCATAACCTCTCTTTAATGGCTGCCATCGACGTGTTAAAGAGACTCTACTCCACAAGTGTCGCTCCCTTTGTGCTGTTGAGGACATGGGGATTACAAACAACAAATGCTTTGTCTCCAGTCAAAGTAAGAGGCACCGTTAGGACACTACAAACTAACTTGTGATGATACAGTGAGCTGAGTCACTAGCAGATTCAGCAGGAATGACATGCTGTGTTCAAATGGCATGTGAATGAGGCAGTCCAAAGATGGCTTGAGTGGTCTTCACTTCTGTGCCATTTGTTAATGATTCTACCTTGGCTACAGTGTGGGTCTCTTCCTATAGCCCAGAGAGGGCTACCTGAAGAGAAGTGGCAGTAACAGTGTTATCCCTAAAGATTCATTATTATTATTTTTTTTCCTGAGGCCCAGATGCCAGTGTGACCCACTTCCTCATAGCCAGATGACCTGACCTAGTTGCAGTGCTTTTATGGTGAGCCATCTCTTAGGCAAACCACCTATCATCAGCACAGCTCCCTCTAATCCAGCAACCCTCACTTTGAGTTTCTCAGTTTTTGATTTGTTTGACCCTGACTGTATGTAACTCCTTGAGATATGTTGCAGATGGTCAGAAGCCGACTATTCTGAACAGCACTCACTTAGGAATGAGCAGTCTCCCAAGGCTCAGTGGCTGCCAGTGGAGAGTAATGTGCAGTGTTCTGCACGAATGCTTTGACTACCTTGAAAATGCTTTTATCTGACCAGAAAGGAGATAGGGGCTTTTCATTTGTTTTTTCTCTTTCTAGCAACAAGTGGAGTGGGTCAGCCCTCGGTGCTGGGCTGCTCAGGAAGGACAGTAAAGTGCTCCACTTGTCTTCCCTGTGTCTGCTGGAAAATTAGGCCATGTTGAATCCCTCTGCCTTCCTTTCCTTAGACAAGAAGAGAGATGGTATCCAGTGGGGTAGAGGGAAGGAGGATGCAGCAGCTTTCTCTGCTTTGTTTCTAAATATTTGTGTCTCACTGGTTCACAAGTGACTCATTTTTTCCCCTTTCCCTCTCTAGGAGCAGATTATGTCCTTTGCCAGTAAGTAAGTTCTCCATGTGTCTAGAGCTGCAGTTCACCAGTGACTGCTGGGAACCTGAGATCTTTAACCCTGTGAGGACTATATCATGTCTGGTTTGGAAACATGTATTTAAATAGTATCTTTGAAGAATAACAATAAAAACAGGAATGAATTTTTTTTTTTTACAACCTATGCTCATCTTTGCTCTGCCCTCCTTTGAGGACCAACTCCTGTCCTGTGGCACCAGTAGTTTCAGCCACTGAATCATCTTTGCTATGTGCTTTCATATAGAAGTGGTCCTTTTAGCCTAAGGTTGAAGAGGCAGTAAATGTACTGTTTTCCCTACACCTTGCTGCACTGTGGTGCTCTCCCTCTGGGTTGTCAGCCTCCAGCTGCTGAAGCAAGATCTGGTGCCAGAGGTGAGTGTGGTTTGCAGCAGGGAAGCCAATTCAAGGTAAGACTGGCTCTGTAAGCCTGAGCCTGTCTCCTCGTCCCCAAACAACCCCCTCTTGGGAGGGCCAAGGGGTGTCTAATGGAGGGCCCTTCTCAGGAAACTGGCTAGTCTTGAGAATTGTGGGTGCCATCCCATTTCTTTGGTAGTGAGAAGTAACAGTGAGATCTAGAAAGGAGGAAAACTTCATCACCAAGGTTTGAATCCAAGCACATGTTGTTAAAAATAGCTTTTTAATTACTAAAATAGGCATTTGAGTGGCCTTGTCTTAATGTTCCAAACACCAGGCTCCTGCATTAGACAATTAATTACTTAATGCTGTAATACAATGTGAGCACTGGATTTATATTTTATAGCAGTGCTATCATGTACATTTAACTAATATCAGGAATTAACATTACAAAGGGGACTTAAATGTGAGGTTGTGACTGAAAGCAAACTCTCTCAGGCTATGCCTGCACTGCAAGCGAGGGGTGTGACTCCCCTGCTCGTATATGCATACTCATACTAGCTGTCATTGAGCTAGCGGGAGTATAAATAGCAATGTAGCAGTGATAGCATGGGTAGCGACAACGGAAGCCCAGCTGAGCCATGCCAAGAACATACCCACTGGTTTTAGGCGGGTTTGTACTCTGCCCATCTCTGCTATTTATACACTTGCTAGCTCAACGGGAACCAACACGAGTATGTATACATGAGCAGGGGAATCACCCCTAGCTCACAATACAGACATAGCCCTAAGCTCTACAGTCATTTCTGTTAGAATCAATGTCCTCTATCCAGGCACTTTCTCCTCTCCAGCAATAATGCAGATCAGGACCCTTATCTTACAAGGCTACTTTGTGCTTATTAATAAATAATCTCATTGCACTAGGGTAGGTATGGGGATTTGAAGAAGCAGGTGAAGTCCCCAACTCACCTCTGGGATAATTCAGATGATAATTTAGGATTCTATCCTGCAGTTTTTGTGCAAGTTGAGAATTTTGTGCAAGGACTGCACAATTGGGCCCTTGTTCAACAGCAGCAATGCTTCAGTTTACAAACTGTACAACTAAAAGATCAAGGCCCTGAGCCTGCCAGACTTAATGCAACTTTGGTACAGAGAAAGCAGATGCTCCCAACGGAGTCTGTAGTGCCTGAACTTGATACTAAGAACACAAAGAAAACTTATTCTGAACTGTACTTGTGCTATTCTCTTGTCTACCTCCCTCCCCCAAACACGATCAGTCCTTTCTCCAAGTTCTCCCAAGGGCTTGAACATATGGAGATGGTGGTAGGTCTTCTGTTGCCCTTGTCTCACTCCCTCCCCTTGTCTTCCAGCTCTAGATGCAGCTGGCTTCATTCCTGCTGCCAAGGTCAGATCTAGAACAAGCAGCAGGCTACATGTCACAGCAAGGGCTCAGATTAATGGGTGGCTAAAATAGCTAGTTCTCAGATGTCATCTAGCCATGCTATTGGTCACTTCATCCAATCTTGTAGTCAGTGAAAATTCCAAGACAGAAAAAAAGTTTGCTAAAAGCAAGGTTTATAAGTAGTAGATGACTGCACTTCCCTAGTAATGTGTGCATAGGCAGCACTGCCATGACCTCTGGCAAATAATACAGAACAGTCATTTCTGCATGAGGATGTGGTGGTGAAGGCTTCTTACATTCCCTGTATAACACAGGCCAGTTTTGAGGTATTTTACACTATAGAGGGACTGGCCTGTTTTATTGGGAAGTTGCAGGGGAATTTCTCAGGTCATTATGGGAGCTTTGCCTCACCTCAGGTGGAAAAGAAGGGGCAGGCAGTTTAGCATGAGAGGGAAAAGACTGCCCCCAACAGGCTGTGCTGAAGAAGCAAGCTGGCACTATGGGCCATCTCGTGAGAGCACTTTTTACTTCCAAATGTAAACCCCGCTTTTGCTTCCACATAACCATTCAGGCTATGAGAGATTAAAATTGCCACTTCTGAAACATACCATTGGACAACCAAGTACTGTTATGCCAGAGTGCCTGGGTTGGGGGAGAGGAGGAAATACTGAGAAGCTACAACCCCCTCCTTGAGTGCCCTGTTTCTACAGACCAACTGTATAAGATATTAAAAAAGACACATTCTCTACCCCAGTGCAGTGACTTGCCAGGAGTCTTGTACTAAGAGTATGGCTGTATAAAATAGAGGTTGTAGGGGCCAGCCACACTCCCCTCCCCCCCAGTAGCTTAGGTTTGTGTGTTATGGGCCCAACCCTGCAACATTATTATTATAGTTCCTGCTCTCATTGACTTAGAGTTCAGTGGGTTAAAACACAAACCCTAAGGGGGGAAATGAAGGATCTGTCCGATTCTAATTTGAACATGAACCAAGTTACTTCCACTCCCATTTTCCTTTCCCTTTCACCTCACGTAAGTGAAAAATGATCTGTTCTTGTCTCACCATAGCTCCTTAACCAGCATCCTCTGACCAGAGAATTGATTTTTGGTTCCATGCTGGTTCTACCTTACTCAGTATTGCTTAGCATGAGACTGGTCAGAGGGGGAGAACAGGGAGGGAGAGGCCCAGGCTTCCAAACCAAGACAGCCAACCTAACCCCTTCTGCTAAAACCCTTCCCTCATCTCTGCCCAAGAAACACTTGCTTTGGAACTGGCCAATCCTGAAAGGGTAAAAGCCCTCAGTATTAAGCAGTCTAAGGGCTAACACATTGAAAACTGAGGTTTACAACACGTTGGGGATTTCACTCTGTGTTGAATGCATGTGTTGTCATGTTTGAATATTTATATTTTTTAAAATTCTCAGGGCCAAACTTCAGTTCTACATGTAAAAATTATCAAGCATCAGCCACAAAAGGTCTGCAGTTTGCCAGGGCATGACAAGCACTCTGAACTGCTGGTAACACGGGGCATCTATGAATTCATTCACTGAACCTGTGTCTGGGTTGCTTATAAGTATAATCAGCTTCATTGGCTTTCAGGAGGCAGATTTTGTATCAATTACCGCAATTAAGTTATTTAGAAACCATACTGTGGCTGCTCTCATTGCAGCTGGGAACTGCCTAGTCCTTGAGGAATTGATTCCATGGCTTCGATCCATGTTTTGCTGAAGGACTGACTCCTGCTGAGCTATGCAGTTGGAAATTTGAACTTGCCCTCTCTTCCTTCTGGAAAGGCCAATGTTCTGCAGGGGGTGCTGGCTCAGTGGGAGAGCCCCAGAGACTGCAGCAGGTGAAAGGTGGCACCCAAGGCCCAGCTTGTCTCTATGTTGTTCACTTTCTTTGTTAACTATGAAGAAACAAAAAGAAATCAGTCAGTTGCAGCATTTCTCCCAGACCTATACAGCTGACACCATAGACAAAGAGCGAGCTGATGGGTAGATGCACAGAATGGCAACAACCTGAAAGAGCTTCACTCGGTACTCTGCAAAGGAAAACACAATGGATATTGCCTGGAGGCAGCAACCTGAACTGGTAGTGTCCATGAACATGTTTTATGGAATCAGATGGATTTTAAAAGAACGAATACTAACAATAGTCTCTCTCCTTTGAGTCCAGTTGCAACAACTTGGCATGGGGATAGGGGACTGCTTGGGCAGCATAGATTCCTGCTTTCTATTAGGTATTGTACTCAGCTGTAGCCCACTGTACAATCCGGACCAGTGTCCTTTTCAGTTCTTTAACTCTGTCTCCCTCTGCACTTCCCAATACCACTCCTCACTGTCCTGCCTTCTCCTTGCTAGCCCCTATTGGTCTCTGGCCTAACAATCATATTGAAGGCAAGAAATTAAGAAACAAGTGATTTTGGGGAAAAAAGTAAATACACTGAGGAAGCAAAGTGAACAGTCTCAGCCTGCTCTCCACCGTAAGGAATCCTCCCCAACCTCAGACTGCCTCCCCACAGACCTGCCTAAAATCCTCCCATAGCAACAAGGTGCTAAGTGTTCTCCACCTGGGATCTAGCCAGCTACATGAGGGGGGAAGAGCTAAGCAGAGATTGGCACTGTGAAGAATAATAAAGCCCACAGAACCTCCCTCCACAGACAGACCGACCTTGGGCCACAGAGAAAAAAAATGGGATAAACACAGGAATTCTTATATTTTCTTATTTCCTGTTTCATAATTGGTAAGAACAATAGTGACCCCTGAACTGGACTTTTCTAAGGAGCTGGATTAACCTTCATAGCGCTTAGGTTCAAGAGATTATACACATGGAAACTGCACATCATGAGGCGGGCTGGGGTCACATGTCCTAGATGGATGGAGGAACCAAGTGCTTCATGGGGGAGGGAAGATGGTGGGGAAGAGGTTGGGTGGGAGGGAGTTAGCAGCTGGTGAGAATGTAAACCTGCTGCTGCCAAATTTCTCTTCTGCTTCTGCTGCTGTCCAACACTATCTCACCCCAAGCCTTTAATTTCCTTCCATATCAAATCCAATCTTGTTTCAGTCAAGGCTCTGCCCACATCTTATCTCCTGCTTCTTTTTCACATCCACTCGGTGTGCACATCTACTTCCCTTCTCACCCTGTGAATCCTTTTTCCACAAATACCTCTGTGCCTTCTCCCATGCTGCTCCCTCTTCTGGGAACAGCCTCCTTGATCCTGTTCCCCATGCACCCTCCCTTCCTCCTCTTTTACATCCCCCTACAGCCACCTTTTCTTACATTTCTTCCACCTGAACCCTCCCTCCTACACCAACCTAAATAAAAACATGTCCACTATGAAACAAGCAGCCTCATCACTTTATTAGAGGTAAATTTTATTCTTACTTGCTTATTGTCATCTCTCTCTCTAGCAAGACCTGTCCGATCATCTGTACTGGAAAGGTTTGGGGGGCAGCAATTATTCTTTGCACAGTGCCACACACACACCTACAGCCCTATGTACAAATGTCAGATAATAGCACCCAGGGTGTGGCTGAGAACTGGAAGGTAGGGAGTTGGGAAGAGTTTGAATGCAAACGTGGCCAGAAAGAGAGGGAAGTAGCTGTTCAAAAATAAGAAAGTCAGCTAGGCCTACACGTCCAGTTTAGATGGTGGAAGGAAGGTCAGGAGGGGCTCTGCAAATGGGCATTTGTTCGGAGAGTTTGTAGGGTGGTAGAAGAGGGCTGGGAAACTGCAAGGTGTATTGTGCTACTTAGGAGGGAAGAGCAGCTGCCAACAAGTGTCTCAGTGCAAATGACTAAGGACATATAAAAGGCAGGCACAGCCACAGGAACTTAAGGGTCCAGAGCAGAGAAAAGCCAAGAGCCTTTGGCTCATATGTACATTAGATACATTCCCTTCCCTATGTGACTAGCAGCACCCAAGTTAATTCAAAGTGGGAGAATTTCTCAAGTCTAATTTTATTTTCATCACTGATGCCGTCGAGTCCTCAGAGCTTCCATGTTGGGGTTGCACACACTGCAGAGGAAAGTTTTTGTTCATATCTATTTACACTGAATACATTTTTTAAAAATCAGGAAATTAGTTCTAATTTTAGGTTTTGAAAACTTCTTGTATTATTATTATTTTAAACAAAATCTAAATGTTGTGTCAAGTTTGAGTTGAGAAGATCACCAGGAAATGACAAACTTCTGGAAGTGTCTATTGCTTAATTCTAGGTCACCATAACCAACAGGCCAGTGGCTATATTCAATCCCTTGCCAAAGCAGTGAATCTATGAAATGCATTCCGTCTCATCCCACCACTGTGTATGTAGAAGGAAGAGGTGAGACTCCATGAGCCAGAATGTTAATGCATCTTCTTCACTCAAGATACAGGAAAGCCAGTACTAGGTCCTTGCAATGCTTCTCTCACCTGTAAGAGTGTGTTATCCCCAAATCCAAAGCCTTCTTTTAGTAAGGCAGTGATGTAACTGAGATCCATACAGAGGAAAGGGCTGGCGGAGGTGTACCTGTCCATGTTATCACACACTAGAGGGAAGAGAGAGAGAGAAAAAAAGGGCTCAGAAGGGTATTCATTAGTAGAACACTTGACTAAACAGCACATATAATCAGAGCCCAGGGCACAGGTGCTGAGCACAAGCCCTTTGCTTCCAAGTACAGGGAATCAGAGTCTACACAGCTGTTCTTTAAAGCCAGGGATTAGCACATTAGTATTTTATGTTCAACGTACTTCTCCTGTTTCCTTTGGACACCATTATGAACACCTCTTAACACAGCAAGATCATTCACACAGCTCTAGTGAAGGCTGAGTCAGCTTTTGATGAACGTTAAAGCTAGAAGTGAGCTCTTAGGTTACCTACTCTTTCATCAAAGGACACACTATCCCAAATCCTTCCTTGTCTAGTCATCTCACCTGGAATCCCCCCAATGACTTAGATTCCACCATCTCCCTTGACAGCTCATTTCTTAACTCAATTTTTCCCTTGTGATTTTAGGTTGTTACTAAGCGCTAGCCCACACTGAGGCCTCGAGATTGATCCTTCCACCCTTTCCTTTTAGCTAATTCCTCACAGGTCCAATAGCTGGGAGAAAGTTACGCTGCATCTGTAATGGGCGCATTCACTTCTCTTAGCTGTAAGGATATTACAGACCACCAGCCAGGCCCACAGGTTATATACGAACCTAGGCAAGCAGACAAGCACTGCTTGCTGTAGCAGAAAAATAACCACTGCTACCTCGGAGTTCAAATCCAAGGAACAGCCTTTTTTCAGCCTAGGTACAGAATGCCACCCTCCAGCGATCAGCTAGGATGTAACAGGCCAATATGTTGGCTGCATGTACACAAACAAAGGCCACAGCTTAAGTCTTAGTACACTCTTTTTATACCCAAGGGGACTCCCTACTTTTATCAATACCCCCCCCTTGTGATTCATTATATAATAATATTTATGACCAAATATGAAATTCCACATTATACACTAGACTATAGAACATGTTTATCTATTTATTAACAGTAACAAACCTACTAATCTTATTATTTGTCAGGGATTTTCCTTGTTTACTCTGATTGTGTTTGGCAGGTCACAATGCTGTCTTCTTTGTCTTGTACCCAAATCAGGGACATTCAAGGGCATTCCACAAAACTGAACAACAGGATATTTAGTAAGCCAGAAAGGCTTTGTTTGCACTCCTTCCCAAAAGGGTTATTCAAAGGTCTTATTGATCACACCAAACTAGGCCAACAATTATATTGCTTATATACTGCTAGCCAATGTATGTTCCATTAAATGTACTTAGGCCCTTACCATCTTACATGCAGTAAGTTCACCGCATCTCTTTCACTTCCTTACATTGGCCTCCTTATACACGTCTCATTTCCACCTTATAAGCACCTTGGGGTGCTTATAAATCACCATAAAATTCATAAAAATTCTCTTTGGACTGAAACTTGGTCACAAGGTCAGAGCCCATGACTTTCCTTTTAAAAAAAACAAATTCATAATAAATGCTCATGGTTTTTTTGATACAAGTTGTGAAAGTTTTCCACCCGTACGGATGGGCACAACTCAGAAACGACATAGTCACAACTGAAGACTTGCCATCCCTCCCTCCATATGGTGGACTTGGATATTTTAGGGTTAAAAGGTCACAAGGTGGACAGAAAGGCTACTTAACCACACAGCTGTAGTTCTTCAAGCTGAGTTCCTGTATGGATGTAGGCTCTGGGTCCGTATGCAAGTTTGGAACCTTCTAACCAGCAGAGCCTGTTGGGGCTATAGCCTCCTCAACACCACGTACAAGCCCCAGGATATAAAAGGGGCTATATGTGGCCCCTACTACCACTTAAGTTCTTCTGCTAAATCAAGATTCTATGGCAAAGACGAAGAAGACTGGGAAGTGTGAATCCCATACAGGCCAACATCTCACAGAGCTACTGTTCCGGGTAAATAACTGTTCTTCCTCCTCTCAAGCAAGAATTGACTGTGTGGTCCACCACTACAGGGAATTGAGATGTAGATGCAGCGTCACAGACGTGAGCAAGAGAAGCATTAATTAAATAAAGACTCTAGGATTGTTCTTGTGGAGCATCAGATCTAAAAGCCAAATAAACAGAGTACTGCTGCATAGAGCAGTGACCAGAACTCCAAGACACAGCTTTATATATCTCTGTGATGGCAAATGTCAGAGACATGCAATCAAAATATTAGCCCTATATTAATATGGTTTAAAATCCTGATGCAGTCACATCCTCAAGGCCATAACATGTTTGCCTACACATTCTAATCTATTTAGATAAATCCAAGTGTCAAACAGCCTGCCCTCAGGTTTATCCCAACAGGGTACAAACAGTCTAGGAATTTTACATATGAAATTACTGTTTGATCCAATTCCCAATTGAAGTCAATGGAAGTCATGTAGTTGACTTCAGTGAGTGCTGGATCAGGTCCTTACTCATGTCTCAAGAGCTCAAGACTCTCTGAACATCTATGGTTACATTTTCAAAATCTCTAAAGTGACTTAGGAGCCTAAGACCATTTTCAAAAGCACCTAAGTCACTCAGGAGCTTAAGTTTAATTGAAAATAAAATGATCTAGGCTCCTAATTCACTTGGGGGGTTGAAATTTTTACCCCAAACCATGTAATTTAGCCTCTCGGTCACCAATGTGATTTGGGGAGGATTATGGATAATTAATAGATGGATTAAAGTGGCAATCAGAGCCCATTTTAGTTAAAAATTCTGTGTGTGGGCACAGAAACACCTTATTCTTACGGAACAGCATACATGGGGGTGATCAGCCAGCAGGTCTTGGATCTCACTCTTTGGGCTAATGTCGCTCTCAGGAACACCATATTCAATGATGGATAGAGCAATGAACAATGTGACAACTCAAACTGCACTGCCATTAGCTTTGTGAACACCAAGTTCAAGTCTCAAGATGGTGATTCATAAACAGATGAAAACACATGAATCAGGCCCTTCAAATATTTTTTCATAATAGGATGTGAAAACTAGATGATCGACTCGTAGAAGGGTGAAAAGCAGAAGTGGCTTCCAGGTAAACTTTAACAGAATTCAAAGAGAGTCCAGGTTGTTTGAGATATAACGAGTTCAAAAGCGATGGGATGCTGGACTAACAAGGATCAGCACTCTGCTAAGCTCAGACATGAAGCCCAGAAGTCCTTCTTGATTTTAGTACAGCAGATCCACTTCCTGCCACAATGACCCTTATGAATGAAACACACTCCCTGAACTGTAAGGCCAGTATGCTTTCCATCTTCAAATTCCTCTATTACAAGAAATGAGGAAACTAATAAAGGATACATGACAGGGCAGCAAGGGATAGATGGAGGGAGCAATTGGGCATAGCTGATTTGTATTTCTTTTTTAAATCAGTCCCATGTTCTGTACGGTGTATAATTATTGCACATATTGCCATTGTCTCCCTTTCCCATACCTCTCATATTTCACAATATTTACCTTCTTTAGCTTTCCTTTCAAAATCTCTCACTTCTAGAACTCCTCCCTTTTCATAATCTGAAAAGTAAGACATGAGAAAGCACAATCACAGGTCTGAGAAACTTTTTTTTTTTTTTTTTTTTTAAACGAAAACTTAGATTCTGGAGCATAACTCTAAGGCAAGGGGTAGATTCTGCAGCACCGAATACACAGAGCTGCAGAGGTAGAATACAAGAAAGTGAAAGTCGTTATCTACTGAATGCTGTATGCAGTGTAGTTGTAGACGTGTCAGTCTCAGGATATTAGAGACACAAGGTGGGTGAGGCAATATCTTTTAGTGGACCAACTTCTGTTGGAGACTGAGAGAAGCTTTTGAGCTACACAGAGCTGCTCTTCAGGTCTTGGAAAGGTACTCCAAGACAAACTGTGTTGGGGGACTCAGCTCCATGTTTGTTCCTTGGGTGTGTTTCTTCCTATCCTCCATCAAAGCCACACAGGTGGCCCATCTTCCCCACAGCCTGTTCTTCCCACCCCTTATGCTAAGTAACCTCATTGCCTCAGTTTCCCTCTCCTAGTTAATGAACATGCACATCATCACACAAAAGCTCTCTATCACAAGTTGATTTACCTATCAGGTCGGTATCAACAGCTCGATCATAATAATAGGAGAAGGCATAGAAGGAGCGTCTGCGAATCTCATCTGGCTGGTGTAATTTCCCTTGTACGACCTTCACCACTTCTGAATAGCAAGGCTCAAATCCTGTTTCCCCTGCCAGGGCAAACACACACAAAAATGAACCCACAAAGACAGATCAGGAGATAGAGGAACCAGTGACAATTGATGGGAAAGCAAAAGAGAAAGAGTCCAAAGGAGAAATAAGAAAGGGAGAGAAACTCAGCGAAGGGTGAGAGGGAAGGAGAGAGTGTGAAAGGGAGACGTTTAGACATCCAAACCCAAGAGAAAGTTCTCTTCCATAATATCTCAGCAACTCTCCTCCTTAGTACACTACATATATACTTAGAGTTTCAGAAAGCCTTTCACAAGGTCCCTCACCAAAGGCTCTTAAGTAAAATAAGCTGTATTGGGATAAGAGGGAAGGTCCTCTCATGGATCAGGAAATGGTTAAAAGATAGGAAACAGAGTAGGAATAAATGGTCAGTTTTCAGGAGGGAGAGAGAGAGAGAGAGAGAGAGAAAGAAATAGTGGTGTCCCCCAGGGGTCTGTACTGTGACCAGTAATATTCAATATATTCATAAAAGATCTGGGAAAAGGGATAAACAGTGAGGTGGCAAAATTTGCAGACAATACAAAATTACTCAAGATAGTTTAGTTCAAAGCAGACTGCGAAGAGTTACAAAGGGGTCTCACAAAACTGGGTGACTGGGCAACAATATGGCAGATGAAATTCAATGTTGATAAATGCAAAGTAATGCACAATGGAAAACATAATCCCAACTATACATACAAAATGATGGGGTCTAAATTAGCTGTTACCACTCAAGAGAGAGAGCGTGGAGTCATTGTGGATACATCTCTGAAAACATCCACTCAGTGTGTAGTGGCATTAAAAAGGGATAAATAACAAGACAGAAAATATCATAATGCTTCTATATAAATCCATGATCGCCCACATCTTGAATACTGCGTGCGGATCTGGTTGCCCCATCTCAAAAAAGATATACTGGAATTGCAAAAGGTATAGAGAAGGGCAGCAAAAATTATTAGGGGCATGGAACAGCTTCCATATGAGGAGAAATTAAAAAGACTGGGACTGTTCATCTTAGAAAAGAGATGACTAAAGGGGGTGATATGATAGAGGTCTACAAAATCTTGACTGCTGTGGAGAAAATGAATAGGAAAGTGTTATTTATTCCTTCACGTAACACAGGAACTAGGGGTCACCAAATGAAATTAATAGGCAGCAGGTTTATAACAAACAAAAGGAAGTATTTCTTCACACAATGCTCGGTCAACCTGTGGAACTCTTTGCCAGGGGATGTCGTGAAGGCCAAAACTATAACAGGGTTCAAAAAAGAACTAGATAAGTTCATGGAGGATAGGTCCATCAATGGCTATTAGCCAGGATAGGAAGGGATGCAACACCATGCTCTGAGTGATCTTAGCTGTTTGCCAGAAGCTGGGAATGAGTGACAGGGGATGGATGGATCACTTGATGATTGCCTGTTCTGTTCATTCTCTCTGAAGCACCTGGCACTGGCCACTATTGGAAGACAGGATACTGAGCTATATGGACCATTGGTCTGGCCCAGTATGGCGATTCTTATGTTCTTTCTCTACTCCAGCGTCATACTTGGACTCTGCCAGGACCCAGGCCCAACTGTGTCACCTGGTACTATTTACATCATATGTGTTTTTGCAGAACTGCGTATGAATCCTTCAGAGACTAGGCTGCACAGTGCACACAGAGCTCACGTTGTGATCCACTATAATCCCCAGATCCTTTTTCTGCAGGACCACTGCCTAACCAGGTATTCCCCATTTTGTAATTGTGCATTTGATTTTTCCCTACTAAGTTTGTACTTTGCACTTGTCTTTATTGAATTTCATCTTGTTGATTTCAGACCAAATTCTCCAATTTATCAAGGTCCTTTTGAATTGTAATCCTGTCCTCCAAAGTGCTTGCAACCCCTCCAGTTTGGTGTCATCCTCAAATTTTATAAGCAGACTCTCCACTCTATTATCCAAGTCACTAATGAAAATACTGAAGAGTATCCAACCCAGAACATAACCATGCAGGACCCCATTAGATACATCCTCCCAGTTTGATGATCCATCAATAATGATTTTGACAACAGATTTTCAAGTAGTCATGCACCCACTTTATAGTACTTTCATCTAGACCACATTTCCCTAGTTTGCTTATGATCATCTCACGTGTGATGGTGTAAAAAGCTTTACTAAAATAAATCACATCTACTGCGTCCCCCTTATGCATTGGGCCAGTTACCCTGTCAAAGAAGAATAGATTGATTTAGCACAATTGGTTCTTGACAAATCCATGTTGGCTATTACTTATCACTCTATTATCCTCTAGGTGTTTATCAATAATTTAATCATTTCTTCCTAGTATCTTTCCAGGTACTGATGTTAGGGTGACAGGTCTCTAATTCCCCAGGTCCTTTTTGTTCCCTTTTCAAAAATAGGTACGTTTGCCCTTCTCCAGCCTTCTGAGACCTCACCCATCCCATGAGCTCTCAAAATTAATCACTAATTTTACCTCAGTGGGACGAGTAGATCCAAAACTGCCTACCAGAGATCTACAGAATTTTGCAGTGAGAAATGGCAACTTCTACAGGGCCAGCTGCCCTGAGCCTGATCACTTCAGATTTTTCCTGTGCTGTATCAAGGGATTTCCATGTCAAGGGACTTGTGACTGGCTCTGTGACCATATCCCTGAGCACTGACCGACATCCTCATAAAGAACAGGGTCACAGAAAGGGTGTTGACCAAAAACACCCTCTTCCTAGGGTCTGAGCAGAGGCGTAGCGCCCTCCGTACCCTCCGACCGGAGGGGGCCCCGCAAGGAAGGGGGCCCCTAAAAGTGGCAAAATAAATACCGCATTCCAGTTTCTGCATTGTAAGGGGCCTTGCCCGGACACATGTTTGGAGGGGGCCACCGTTTGGAGGGGGCTATGTTCTTTGTTGCTACGGCCCTGGGTCTGAGGCTTATCCCACAAAAGGAAGGTACCCAACTTTGCCAGAAACAAAGCCTCCTTAATATACCTTCTCTGTTGCCACCATATTGATATCTCACTCCCCCAAAGTGCCACTCTGCCTCCAGTCGCTTCGGTAAACAAGAACTTCGGAACATTTGTCCATCCACTGCTGCAAGGAAGCCAGAGGAAAGTCAGAAAGGGCTGCGACCTCCCAATGCCACTCTCCCCCTCCCCCCCCGCCCCCAACCACTCAATACTCCAGAGGAAGGAGAGAAAAACCCCAAGGGGCCTTATAGTTTGTCCATGGGGAAATTAAGATTTGGTTAAAAAGTTAAATGCTGCATAAACTGATTCTGAATTGGGGAATAGCCTGAACTCTGGAATACGCTCCCTCCTTGGTCCTGCAAGCTGCAGCACAGCTTGGCTTCTCACCTGTTAGTGGGAAATAAATATTATTCTCACTTTCTGGGCAGATCACTGCCAGGGAAATGGAGAAAAGGGTAAGATACAGGATGGGAGACATGGGAAAGGGGCAGCTGGCACAAGATTAACTTCACTCACCTCTTTAAGTATCTAACATGGCTATTTCAACTGACTGTACCTTTCATTTCCAGGGCTCCAAGTGTTGCTAGTCTGGCAGCTTTCAGTCCAAAGCCCAAATAGCTGCAAACAACAACAACAAAAAAACACCAAACAAAATATTGCAGTTTTGCCCTGGCTCATCTGACATGCCCACACACAGCCAGCCCTAGCTCTATGGCATGCACAAACCAGATTCCCTTTCTGTGCCTCCTACCCTATATCCCCCTCTACATCTTAGATGGAATTCTTCTCCTGGCAGAGGGAAACTAAGTGCCAACGGACTAATGCAGAAACAAGGTGTTACAAAGCACACACATGGGGTGCAAATCTAGAACTAGGCTGGAAGTGGGTAGAGAAGAATAGGAAGCTTTTGGGCAACTCAAAAAATCTGGTGTGAATTTCTGAGATTTAAAATAAAAAGCATCAGAAAGAAGACAGGGACTTGCTGCACCAGAAGAACGGAGTAAAAAGGAGCATTAGCGCCTGTATATCTCTACAAACAAATGCAATGAGAATGGGAAATAAGCAAGATGACCCAAAAGTCATACACAGTGATGGAGATGATGATCTAACAGAAATTGGGCAACATTATCTATGATGCCCACAAGATACGATGTGATGAGCAAGAGGGCAGTGGAGAAATTCTTTGGGTAAAGATACAAGGAATGTAAAACAATAGGAAAAATGACCACAGACAACTGATACAGGCCAGAGAGAAAAAGACTCCAGGACCAATTCTTGGGGCACTTGACACCATAGAATACCACAGAACTCATTACATGTGCTAAGACGACTAACCAAGTTTCTAATTGTGATAATGGTCTCTTGTACACTAGGACTGGACTGAAATCACTAACTATTCACACTTGGCTGAGTTTTAAATTAACTGTAAATTACTCCGTAAAACTGATTGGGCATCACCTTTGACAGCTCAATAAACACCCCTGCTCAATGGCAACAGTGGGCAAAAAAAGCAAACAAACTGCTTGGATACACAAGGTATAGGTTAGAAAATAATTCTTAAATTAATCTAATGTTGTTATATCATTCAGTGGTATGCCCTGACCTGGGCTCAGTTCGATTCACCCTATCTCAGAAAGGAAATAATTTAAGAAGTGGGTAACAAAAGTGCTAAGAGGCCTGGGCACACTTCTATGCAAAGGCGAGATCGAGAAGACTGGGCTGTTTAATTTTGAGAGGAGAGGAATAAGAGAGGGACATGATATTGTGTAGCGAGGGGCCATGGACCCCAGCTGCGACTGTAAGGGACTGGGGGGAAGGAAGCACCATTCACCTCCAGGTAGGCAAACACGGACCAGCCACACCTGCCCCACCGGAAGCAGAAGAGCGGGACAGGAAACTTAAAAGGTGGGCCCTGCAGCTCAGTTGGAGGGGAGTTGGCGAAGGAGATAGATGTGTTCTGCCCAATGCTGAGCCCAACGCTTGAGGATGACCCCTGCAATGCCAAGGAACCAGAAGGACTGCTGGGCCGGCCAACTGACGGGAGGACAGAGGAGTTGCTTGGACTGCTGCTGGCTGTATAAACCCGGGAAGATGGAGGACACCATGAGACAGAACTACACTGCAATGGGGTCATAGGAAGTAGCCCAGCGACACCAGACAATAGTCTGGTTGTATGGCCAGAATACTGGTCAGTGTGTTTAAGTGGGATCCCCGCTGACCCAGTGGCACACACCTCCACTGCTGTCAGGGCCCGGGGCTGGGACCTGATAGAGAAAGGTGGGCCCCATCCCCCTACCCCTTGTGGCTGCCCCACGCCTGGGGTGGCCACTTACCCACCTTAGGCCGAGAGGCTTGTGTCTGCCTGAGCCAGGAGGCCAGGCAAAAGACTGCCTACAGCTCTGCCCTACACTGAGGGCCAGACCCTCTTTAAAACTGCTTGTTGCTCTGCCTTGCCTAAGGGCCAGAGCCTTATACACTGCTTACTGCTCGCCCCTGCCCAGAGACTCAGACTACTGGGGTCAGAGCCCTGAAAGCGCCAGTTCCCCCTTAAGCTTTGTTGGACACCCACATGGTAGCAAGGGGGCCTGGCTCCCTCGCCAAGACTGACAGGGAGGGACGACCATGGACCCTTACATACCGATACACAAAATGTATAGCCTAAAGATGGTAAGTGAGGTGCTCCTATTTACCCTCATAATAACAGAACAAGAGGATGAAACTGATCAAAGGACATTACTTTTACACAATGAGCTTCTCAGTGACTAATAAGCCAAGCCTTTCTGGAATTGGTGGCTTGGGATGCGAGAGGTCCTGTATCCCATTTCCAGTCCTTGGTTGTGTCTTGATAGCTGAATCTACATTGTCCCCCTTTCCAAAGTGGCCCAAAGTGTTTGCTTTAACCTCTCCATGTACCAGAGCTTCTCCTCTCTCAAAATGATTACCCGTAAAACTTGTTCGAGGTACAAACTGTGATTTCCCCTTTCATTGATATTCATATTGGTTCTGCATCCTTCCAGGCTCAATTAACGTTATGGTTTTCAAGCAGATAATCTAGTCGGAAGATCAGGGCTCAACAACTCACTATGGAACAATATGGTACATCCTAGGCTGGATCTCAGGCTGTGAAAGGACTGATTTTTCAGTGGAAGTGGCAGCTTCTTGCTCCTCACCTGTGCGTGTAGAGCTTGTAAGTGCTATTGAACATTTCAAATGAGGTGACAAAATCCACAGGGGTTTGCTCCAAGGTTTCCTAAAAATTAAGTAAACAGTATATCTTTCAGTCCCTGTTACTCGATCAAAAACCCAAAAAATAAAAACACAAAACCTAGTGATAATATCATTGCTAATTTTCACATAGGCATCGAGATAATTTACTGTACTCATCCAATGTGGCTACATGGAGCTATCCATCCTCCATGACAAATAACTCATACTTTTGGTATTGTGGTAGCACCCATAATGCTTCACCTGTCCAGCCCTCAAAATCAGTATAGCCCATGCAGCCTTAATTCTGCCCATTGTGTGTGCACATTATTATGTGTAAGAGTCATTAATTATATTACACAAACAAAATCTAAATTAAAAGAACATTATCAAGGTTGCAAAGTCAAACACTCAAAAACTGAATGAGGCATGGGTTCTCTTGAAAAAATAATGTGATCATAAAATTAAATTAAAGATGCACAAGGGGTCTAAATTCTGGCATTTTTTTAGCACTTAACTTTGCAACCTTAATAATCTTCTTTCAATGTTGTTTTTGTGTGTGTAATTTCCTTGCTCTTAAAAAAGCCAACAGGGAAAATAAATCAGAAATTGCATCAAGTACCATCATACTGACACCCCCATGAGTCATCAGCAGGCTTGGAACCTTCAGATTCACTACACAGACCCTCTGCCATTTCAGCTAATAGCATAAATAATGGCAATAGTACGTTGTCGTCCTCGATCCCTAGAGGAGGATGAGACACACACTTTGCCAGTGAGTTTCACAGGTATTTGCTGACCGTACAGAAATGGTCTAACTCAGGGATCTTGGGTTCCACTGCAGGCTTTGAAAGAGTGTGTGCTCTAGTAGGCACAGACTCTTCTGCACATTCTCCCCACGTGTGATCCCACCTCCCCCAACCTGTCCCTGTCCCAGTGCTTTCTCTTCCCTAATAATCTGTCCCCTGTGCTCAAGGAGTGAAGATACACTAACAGGCTGGAAGAGAAGCACTTGTAGTCCAGTATTGACATCACTCAGAATTCCATCTAACATGGAAGAAACATCCCTGGAAACCTTTTCCTTTTGTAACATACGAAGTCTAACCCATGTTAGCGAGGTTTCAGAGTAGCAGCCGTGTTAGTCTGTATCCGCAAAAAGAACAGGAGTACTTGTGGCACCTTAGAGACTAACAAATTTATTTGAGCATAAGCTTTCGTGGGCTACAGCCCACTTCATCGGATGCATAGAATGGAACATATATTGAGGAGATATATACACACACACACA